TCCACATCAATGGAAGTCGTTGTTGCTTGAAGGAAGCATTTAAGATGGTACTAATTGGGAACGCTAATATAGCTGCATAATCACGAAGAAGCCAATTTGATATTTCATCAGGACCACAAGTTTTTGTAGGGTTCAGCTTTGATAAATATGAATACACTGTTTCTTCAGTGACTACTAAAAACTCAGGGTTGTTAACTTCTAGCTCGAAAGGAAGAAGGGGGCTGGGCAGTTTATATACAGATAAGGGATCCAAGAAAGCTTCATTGATCTTGTTAGCTAATTCTTGCTCAGATAATTGTTCGAGGTTTTCAATATCTATTATATTTCTAATATCATTAGATCTAGTAGATGCCATTCCACTTAAACGCTTTACTTCTTTCCACCATTCCTTGGAGTCTGTTTGTTTCATTTGATGTACACGGAGTTTATAATAATTTGATTTACAGATTTTCCTTTCTCGATTTACTTGGTTTCGAAGAGATTTAAAAATGCTCGAGTCAGGGCCATAGGTAGAAAAAGCTTTCTGCCTTTCAATGATCAGCGATTTGAAATGGTTCGTTATCCAGGGGGCATCGACTGGACATTTCTTTGATCGTGTCATCGGCATTAATATATTAACCCCAGTAAGGACTATGTTTTGAAACATGTTCGATAACTGATCACAATCATTAGTAGGTGGAATAATTTGAGGCCAATCAATCGAGTTTAGATATCTTCCCAGGGCTCGTTTGGAACTTGGATTAATATTACGCTTAAAGGTGGTGCCTTTAGAGATTAGATCTTTAGCTCTTTCCTTTGGAGATGAAATGATAGTATTGTGGTCGGATAGTCCAAAAGGGGGCATTATTAGAGGTTTTTCATAATACTCGTGCAGATTAGTTAAGATGATGTCGAGAATCGCATTTCTGCGGGTAGGAGTCTGAACTATCTGTTTCAGTTGAAAATGATGTTTGATTCTGTTAACATTAAGACGATTAAAGTCACCTGCAACAATAAGTGCGCAGTTTAGAAATTTTGACTCTGCCTTTTTTAATGACTGGAATAAATGGTCTCTCATCGAATAATCATCTGCTCCAGGGGGGTGGTATACTATAGCTACGATAATACATGAGAACTCGCGTGGAATACGAGTAGGTCTAAGGTGCAGCCATAGGATTTCGTGCTCCTGGCAGCAAGATAACTCTAAAATCTGTTTATAATTAACATCTCGGTTATTTTAACGTATGCACAAACCCCACCATGGGATTTGTTAATTCGGTCCCTACGTATTATTGAAAAACGGGGAATGTTCACCACGCTGTCAGGAATAGAAGCTTTAAGCCAGGTCTCTGTGATAAATACCAGGCTGATTTGATTCCGGTGAATAAATTCGCGAACTTCGTCAACTTTTGGAACGAGTGACATGACATTGGACAGCATTATTTTTGGGACATGCTCAAATTTAACAGCTTCATCTAGAGGAATTTTAACCAAGTTAAAATCGGACGTTTTAAATTTATTCCGAAACCTCTTGCAATTGTAGTTATGAGTTGTTATTCTTACAGGAATGGTTTGACCCATGATCGTTTCTTTTTCCATAGTGGCATCTAATAATAATATTGGAAAAACAACATTTTGTCTTTTCGCTTGCCCCTCCGACTCTTCCGAAAAACCTCCTTAGCTTGGCAGGTTTTTGAGGAATGTTTATCCCGTTGCCAATTTGGGTTCAGTGATTGTATTTTTTCCCTACTTGTAATACGCGTCGGGATGGGATACTGATTTGTAAGATCGTGCTGTGGTATTTGATGGAGCGTGTTAAAAATAATAGTTGGGAGGCCGCATCTATCCTCATTTTGCTTAGATACATGTTGACTCCTGCTTAGATTGATGTCAGTACTTTGATCCTCAACCACAATACAGGATTGATCAAGAGACAGCTCACAGTTATTTCTTTTAGTTTCCTGATTTATTTCTTTTCTTTGGTTGAAAGTGTGGGAATTTGCATAATTTATCTTTGCCTCGACCTTGGTGTTATTGTTAGGCGCTATTTGGGAATTAATCGACCGATCTCCCATAGGTGTAATTGAGCCACATTGTTGATTCGAGTAATTAATTGTGTTCCTTTGTTCCAATTCGTGTAGGTTTAATTTACAGGTTTTTAAGTCTAGTTCTAAAGCTTCTACCTTGCTGCTTAAAGCCTTGTTTTGATCAACTAATTCAACACGAATTTGTTCCATTTTTTGGGTATTTGTTAGAAGACCACAAACAATTTTAGACTCCATCAAAACAATGTCTAGCTTGGCTCCCTCTAATTCTGTTGAGAGTTCGCTATGCGAGACAGAACAAACCGTTTGGCTTTGGGCACGCATTTCTAATTCCCAAACTAATTCGTAAATTTGGACAAAAATGTAAAGAGTTACAAAATATTTTAGTTATATAGGTTTGGCAATCCATATAGAACCATATCATCCATTACTTAATTTTGTAGTATAAAATTTGGTAATTTTGAGTTTTCTTGTTTCCTTTGAAATTTTCTTATTTCAAGAAAATTTAAGAATTTTCTTATGATGTAACTATTTCTTTTTTTAATAAAGGTGCTAAAAAATAGTTTCTTAAATTAAAAAAAATTATATTTTCTTAAGAATATGATTTTTTGTTGTGCAATCTATTGCCCATAGGCTGATATTTTGTTTTGAAGAAAAAACAAATAAACAACTGTTCGGCTGCTCTTCTCATCGACAATTTTTGAGTTTCTGAATTAATGTTTTTCACAATTTTCCTCGCAAGTTCTACACATTTTCACCAGAAATGTGCCATATTTGTGAAACCACCAATCAAAACTTGAATCAAAACCACACGCCCCTGATGTTTGATGAACTTCGCCAATGCTTTCCTTTCCCAGGGTCTAAATAGCCGAGCGGAATTACTACTCTTGCCTCGTTGGATCGCGATTAACCACGCGTCGTTGGCACGCATTGACTCGTTTTCTATTTCTTAAAATAATTTTAATAGTTTTTGTAGATAGAAATTTCGAGCGAATATTTATACCACAACAATTTTGGATTTTTGGTTAAAAATTAATTATAGACAGTTCACAAGAAGAGCAGCAACGGTGACAACAATGAAACCAAATTATTATTTTTATTATATTCATTTTAAGTCAGTGGTGTTTCCTGCAATCTGATTGGTTCACAGGAGTGCCATTTCAGCACCAATCGCACTGCGATTCGTGCTGAAATCGCACATTCTTTCAACCACTCACATAAGAGTGCTGACTTCAGCCAACCAATCATCTTTAATTATATAGGATTCAAACAGCCAATCAATTTTAAGAAAAATGTGATATGGCAAATGAGCAAAATTTATATATGTCACGAATGATTGAAATTAAGCAATTTTTGCGCATAAAAAATATGGATAGCTAAAGTAAACTATCAAAGAAGTGCAAATTTTCAAATTTCACAAATAGTAACTGGCAAATTAAGAACATAATCTTATATCAAATATGGTCAAAACGCCAGCAAAAGCAAATTTAAAGCGTTAAGGGAAACAAAGTTAAATTGGCCTGTAGTATTTCCAGTTTTAAATGCACAAAACTTCAAATCACTTGTAAAACCTACAATATCATTAAACTTACTTGTGTTGTCTCTTATGCTACAGCACTCAGGGAGGTACTGGAGGTGTGTCTTTTGCAAACAAAAACGTTTCCGGTTTACAAAAACGTTCGAAGATTTCAAAATGAATATAATAAAGTGGAAATTGAACATCGTGTCGAGCAATTTTGGACTGAAATCAAACTTGTGATTACAAATCGCACTCCCACTTCGCGCGCGGTCGTGCGATTTTGTAATCACGCGTTTGATTTCAGTCCAAATTGCACTCCACTCAATTCAATTACCATTAAAAATCTGATTATTATTTAAATAATTTTTACTTGTTACAGAAAAATTTGATCAAAACGATCTGGCCGACTTGCAGTCCGAACTGAAGATTTTAACTCATGTTGGTGAAAATGAAAATATTGTAAATATACTAGGTGCTTGCACAAAAGGTTAGTAACCCTACTTCTGTTTCTAATTTATATTTTACTGTACAACTTGATTGAAACTGTTTGCAAAATTTCGCAATCTTGTTAAAATGTATTTGAATATGGATAGTTAAGTCTCTTTCGATTCGGCTTTCGATCATCTGTCTTCCCCAGTCAGTGGTTTCCGGAAGTAATTGGAAAGTTGAAGACGCATCTCGAATTCGTAGATGTCTAGAATGCGCTTGATAAACTACCAGAGATCAAATTAAATTAAACAATTTTAAAATTTAATTTGATGTACATTGTGTTCTTCCTGCATTTAGAATTTCGTATTCAGTGAACTGCCGCCAGGCGTACTCTTTTTCAAACTGTTTCGAACATGACTAACTACCTGCTCAATATGAATATGTTTTCTGGTTAGAAACATGACGCGTTGGTGAATGTCGTTTCTTTACAATGATTGTTTGGATACTTTAATTTGTAGCATTTTTATTGTGCATGGGAATCAACCAGTCCCAATACCATGCATGTCTTCTAACTATTGGCCGTATATATCATTGTGTCATTATATAATGTTCATAAAGAACATTAAAAACTTCACCTTCATAAATCAAAACATCTCAGATGATTTGATTTTGTTTGGAAGCTTAATAGTCCTTGGAGAAACAGTTATTTTCTAGTATATACATATATACATACAAACTTTATTTAATCACGCTAGCCTCAACAACATTACAAACTGATTTTTACGAGGGGCGTGATTTAGAACTATTTACAGGGTAAAACACATTAGCAACAAGTGAATAATAGCACAGTTGTACAGCTTATAGAGGTTAATATATTTTGATGAGCCAGATTCAACAAATTCTCTGAATCAAAATTGTTTTGAAAGAGCTTACATAATTACATAATTTAAATTGAAAATTGTCTACAATACCCATAGTGATTACAAAAATAATTTTCCATAGGTAAAAGTTCAAACCTTTGGATAATAATGGAATATTGTCCGAATGGAAATCTTCGAGAATTCTTACGAAACAATCGGAGTTGGTACAACGTGGAGGAAGAATCATTCGATCCAGATCTTTCCCAAGTGTTTGGTCCAAAAAATTTGATATATTTTGCTTGGCAAATAACAAAAGGGATGACATTTTTGACCTCAAGAAAGGTAAAGGTTCCCCATCCTATTATAAGCCTGACCAGATCCTGTACACACACTATATGTATCAGTTTCCCCATGTCTCTACCGCAGGCATAGATTGAATGAAGAGCCGGAGTGAGTTCAGAGCCGTACGGATAGCTCGTTGGGAAAGAGCACAATGCTCCTTTGCTAGTGATAACTTCGTTTTATTGCGAGCACAACATTTGATGTAAGGAGAATCTTGTCAAATTCTATTTCGATATACAGTAATTTATCAATGATATGTAGCTAAGATGACGTCAGAAGCAGGATACACTATTTGACATTCCACATAACTCTAAAATCTCATATATTCATGTGTAAGTCTAATAAGTCGAACAATCGATATACTTGCATTTCATGTATTTCGTACCGTGCAGTGAGTTTGACGTCTTTGACGCGATTGCAATGTTTGAAAATTTTCTACCAAAACCGACTTAAATTACATTCATTTACAATTACCTTTTAATGGCAAAGAAATGTTTGTCTTATTGTCGTACCAGTTTAACAATCTATCATTCTTGGCAAGGTTGTAAAAATAAATGTATTTCAAAACTTTTTCTGTTATTCCTGCAGATAATTCATCGAGATCTGGCTGCACGAAATATCTTACTCGGACAGAAATATGTAGCAAAAATTGCAGACTTTGGATTGGCCAGAGATGTTTATAAGTATCAACAATACTTAAGAACATCAACAGTAAGTCTACAACCATCAATTTTGCTTATTTATATTCTCACTATCCTGAAATGTTCAGTTTTTTGAAAAATTACCGCTTAACTGCGCATGCTCTAAAAATCTAATGATGAAAAAATAATTTTAGAAATTGCAAAGCCAGACCTAAAGGCGCCAAAATAATTATGCTCTCATCTTAGTCGTGCGAAGACGTGTTGAGCCAAAACTTTCAATTGCAACGCCGATGCTTTCCTCCAAGTTTCAGCTTTTCTCCTTTCATAAACCAATCCAAAGCCGTTATAGATGATTTCTAGGAAGATCTGTTTGAAGTTGTCATATTTTAAGGTTTTTTGCAGGCACTGTACCTTTCTGGAAAGAACGTTACCTTGACTTTAAGGTCTCGTTTTCTTATTGAGGTTTTGGTCTTTATCTTACACATACAAAAACACAAGCCTCGTTCGGTAAAGTGACGTACATTCCGTAAGAATGTATTCATGAAATGTGGCATTTTAATTTCTAGGGACTAGTTCCTTTCAAATGGATGGCTGTTGAGTCTATCAGGGATTCATTATTTACTGAGAAGTCGGACGTGTAAGTAAAACCGTAAGGAGAGTGTTGGTTAAACATGTAATTAGCATCTACAAAAATGTGCCAGATAGATGTGAAATGGAAGGCCTATTCAAATATTCTGGCCAGTACAAGCTGGGGAAATATATTAAATTGAAGGAATGTATAACTTAAGGAGGAGTTTTGAAAACTCGCACGCATGTGCGATGAATGAGTGATTGATTAACTTTGGGAGAAATGCATCGTTCAAAGAACTAACGCATGAGCGGGAACAGTTTTCATTGGCGTTGCATATTTTGTGTACTTGAAAATCGGAATTTCATTGGCACGTTTTTGTTCGAAAAATTGAAATTGGAAGGTCTTAATAGGATTTAAGGTTTCTCAATTCCAAGGCAATAATTTCACATTCCGAGTAAATATTTGAGGGCATTTATTTGTTCCTATAGTTCGAATCATCTCTCCGTTTAGGTGGTCATTTGGTGTTTTACTTTGGGAAATCTTCTCATTGGGTGAGTAATTTTATGGCTTCTTTTATTTTTCTCGAAATTATTAGTGCTAACTATAAACGAATTCAAAATCGTACAAGATGGGGTAGAGGAAGCGTCAGCTGCCTTCACCCAAAAATTTCAGGTTGGGCAAATTGTAACATAAGTGCGCAATTTCTATGAGCTTTAAACGTAAGTTGGGCAAAAAGATGGGGGGGGGGGAGCGAGAGATTGAAAAGCAAGAAATGTGTAAGATAATAATCAAATAAGCAAGAAATATGAAATGCACCCCCCCCAGGCACCAAGAATTTTTTGGAATAAGCAGAAAAACAGCTTTGATTGGTCGGGCAAAAATACATCAAACTCGGCGGAAAATTTCTTTCTGCCCCACTATATTTTCCTCGGATCCTGTACACCGATGCGCGAAATGTATCATCACTTTGCATTGTTTGCAACGTACCAGTTTGGGTATCAATTTCATTTAGTAAGATACAATGTGTACATAGTCAGAGTTGTATCACTTGCAAAATATATTGCTTTCAGGTGGGACTCCTTACCCAGGAATGTATGTCAATGAAGTACATCACTACTTGTTACAAGGGAACCGAATGGAACCACCTATTCATTGTCCTCATGAAATGTGAGTATCGAATGTGATTAATTAATTAAGATAACAAAGAAATTATAAGTAGACTGATTCACAAAATAGTTGTCATTCTTTTTTTCTTCCGAAATTAATTTCAACCGTGGTAATTCATTGCCGTCATATAGAATTCTTCAAGACTAACAGTTTGACAAAGTACAGTATAAATATAATATATAATACCATATATCTATTCTTTTCGAGAATAAATGATAGAAATAGAGGAGTCGCCTGACTTGCCTTGTTTTAGTACTTCTCAAGGAGCTATAATTTCGTTTGTATGTATTATTTTCAATCTTAGGCCTGTTTTATACGTCGAAATTCAGTCGCGTCGAATGCAATTCAAACAATAGATAATGAAGCTATTTACATTCAACGCGACCAACATTCGACGTATATAAAAGAGGTCTAAAACTCTTACACTTTGCCTCTGTTGGTATATTGTTTGTTGTGTAGACTAATAATTCGTAAGCATATTATAATAATGCAAAATTTGGGTAGCTAGTTTTGGAATCGGTCAATAAATTAACTATATACTAAGTAGGAGACGATTCGTCTCAATGTTCGAGCAACATGCACGTATCCAAAAATAAATCATAACAAAGAGAATGCAATACTTCAACATCAACTATATAGTAACATCGGGAAGCCCGGCAAATTTTAAAGCAACAAAATAGAAGACTTTTGTTGGATGTTGAACTGTACCATACCGTGCACAAATCCTTTTGTCAACTTCATCAAAAATAATATTCATCGTGGCTGCTCGTTTCATCTCAGTTATTCCTATTTGACGGTTTAACTTAATTATACGAAAATATAGTGAGCTCAATCACCGTGCCCGTTCCCAAATTAAAATAAACTCATATAAAAACATAATACAATGACTTTTGTATAGTTTCCAGACCATTACACCTTGATAACTATATGACATCGACAAGTGGACGGATACACTTAGAGACGATTTATATTAATTTGTCGGATGCTTTCGTAAAAACTTGATTAACCGATATAAATATTTTACAGCGTTTCGTTAAACAGTATCTTGCAGTCGCAGACGCTAAGGGAAATTATATTAATTACATGCACAATTTCTTGGAAAACTGACTCACAAAATTGGAAACATTGCGTATAGGTGCGCGTAAAACTGTAAAACTAAAAATAATTGTTAAATAATAAGGAAACTGCAGAATTATTATGTAGGTGATTGTGCGATTGTATGTTAAGAGGAGATTTTTTTGTATGCTACGTAACACGCGCACAAAACTAATGTGTATAGTATACCACTTGAGGTTATGACTAAATTCAAAATTTTTATTTTTCAATACGTTTCTCAATCGGCAAACAAACTTAAAAAGTATATTTGATGTTTTATCTGTAAAATAATGCTAAAATGAAGAGATTTTAGATGATACGACAAAGAGAAAATGATGTCTGAAGTTCAGTAAGTTTTGCATATATGGCTGAAAGTATGGCGTCAATTTTAAGCAATATTGATTTTAATTGACAATTTTTAACTATTATTTTATGTTTCTCAACCGGAAGATGCATTAAAAAAGGTAGCTAACTCTATAAACTAGAGAATAAAGCTAAAACAGAGTAATTTTGGGAGGAACATCAGAAATATTTTAGGTTTTGAACACTTTTCATTGCAAATACGTGACATTGAAAAAAATTGCCTCTTAATTAACTGGCGTACATCAACGTTAATTGTTCATCTATGTTACGCGAAGAAACAATACGTCTTAGATGCGAAACTTTGTCTTAACCCTATCCAGACGGGGGAGCGGCGCTGATTAGTATAACCAGTATAGGCTGATTAGATAACCAGTATAGGTATGGTTCTGAAACTTTACAACGTTACGTTTCCTAAATTTCTATGAGCTTTAATTATTATGTCTAGAAAACGTAGGGAAAAATATTACGCCAAAAAAAGTTACAGCCTATAGTCGTGAACACATGTCAAAAATTAAATTTCAGCATTTTAATTAAACTATAATAGCTGCAATAGATTCAAAATAAGCACAGTCTTTTTAACAAAGAGAAACTATTTTTCTGATATATCCTTCCTTTTTTATCCTGACAAAACAGCTAAAAACGACACCAACAAAATAATTTTGAACATTTTAACAATCTAGGTTTTGCAATTAACGATGCCATATTTTTTGCCATGCATGTGTCATAATATACTTGAACAAGGCATACTAAAGTATCCATCTGTAAAAGTTTTGTCGGAGTACACCAATTTTTTTAGGATATATTGATCTCGGATAATTACTACCCACATCAAGCTCCCCGCTCATTCCCAGAACACCCTGAAAAATACCAGTGTGGATAGGGTTAAAATGGAACTTGCTTCTAAAAATTATGAAATAAAATTGTCATTACAGCAACGAAGTTATGTCAATGTGCTGGAAAGAAAATCCTGAATATCGCCCAAATTTTCTAAGTTTAAGAGACATACTCTACAAAATACTTGATTGGAAAGAAATCTCACAGGTATGCAATGTAAGCATTAAAACATCTAATATATTGCAGACGTTATCCTAGCTATTCAGACTGAAAATTGGTTCATACTGAGTCATCTAATATTGCAAAGAAAAGCTAACTTGTGATAAAGATTTTACCCGAGGCGAACCATGATTAAGTTGTTCAAATCGGGTTGAAGACTCTTTCTAGATCTCACATTCTTTCAATCGGTCATTCGTTTTGTTAACATGATCGTTATGAGCGTACGAGCGGATCAGTTCCTTCCGGCGGGGTAGGGGCTGCTTGAAATGTTGCTCTAATTTTTGTGGGGGACCATGTCCCTCTTCCCTGTCTCGCACGCCTATATGATGATCGTCATAGTACCTTTTCTTAACCCTAGACATCTGCATACAACAAAGAAATCGTGAAGTCAAATGAGATTGAATCAGAGGAAGACGTCAACGAAAATGAACTATTCATATAAAATTATAAATCTATCTTGCTTCTATTTACTATTGAACTATTTACCAGACTCTACAGAGCTATTTGCTCAACTTGCTGGATAGATTTAACAGGAAATTTCGAACAAGAGAATGAAGTACAATTTAAACCTAACCAGGAGCAGTTACGAAAAATTCAGCTATAGCCTTCTGACAGGAATCGTGCAGCCCAGCTCAGGTCTTAGTCCAATTGTCCAGATCTCAGATGACTGCACGTCAATCGAAAGGTCGCAGGTTCGTTTACTGCCCGAGGGCATATGGTTGCATTTATTGCACCTGCTTCTCGTTAGGTCTAAAATTGTACAGTATAATATAATCTTGAACTAGAAATTTCCAAGCATCCACAAAATAAAATTATTCAACTACTTATCAGAAATTTGAATAAAATATTGCTATATTTAATAAGAAAGACTAATTAATTAATTAATATTGGTAGAATTGTAGATTAAAGACGACTTTAATCATACAAATATTTGTTGCTTATATAGTAAGGGTATTAAAGTTAAATTTAATCCGTTGATTAAAGACCGCTTAAAGCGATATAAAGAATAAATTAATCACATTTAATACATTGATTAAACTTTGTTTATGTCCAATTTTAGTCTTATTTAGTCGCTCTATATATTATACTTGCAATAAGTTGCATCACTTGTGATCACATGACGTGGGCTTTTTTATTGCGCTTTTGAAAATGTCGAATTTGTGTCATATATTCTGACAATATAGTATTATTCATGATTACAAAAACCCAGTCTTGACTCAAGGTTCATGCATCGATAATTAAGAACAGTAAAAAATCACGATAATTTGTAATGTTGAAATGCAACATGAACTCAAATATATACAACGCGCGTTCATATAGAGGTAGATATTTGACATGTTTGTTTCATATTCTCGAACCTAAGTAGCGGTACATCTTCTTTAGCGTATCAGTCTACGGGGACCCCCTACGACCTAATATATTTTATCATTTTTACTATATATATTTACTATTTACTATATTTGTGCGGACAAAGACCCAGTATAAAAACCGAACCTAAAATTATCACGTTTTGTGATTGCCAATTTACGTACAATAAACAGCTAAATGCACTTATATACATTGTCCTAGACAACGGTAAAAGCCAAGGCTAAAACTAAGCGGACAAAGCCAAGCGAATAACGCAAATCCTTAAATTTTTAGCGCTGGTCCTAACTGGTAGCTGTTCCATAATGTATTTCAATTAAATAACGAATTTTGGTAACTGAAAAAAACTCAATTTATTTATTGAACGTTCTCTGACTAAATATTTATTTCTACAAGCTTTCGGCTATCAGTCTATAGCCTTCTACGGGTGTATACAAATGATTCTATAAAGGACGCTAAACTTATAAGTAGGTGGTATGAAATATGAGACTATATATCTATGCTATGTTACAAATGAGAAATATAAATATTTAATTAATGTTTATATTTATATTCCTCATTTGTAACATAGCATAGATAGTCTCATATTTCATACCACCTACTTAAGTTTAGCGTCCTTTATAGAATCATTTGTATACACCCCTCGAAGGCTATAGACTGATAGCCGAAAGCTCGTAGAAATAAGTATTTAGTCAGAGAACGCTCAATAAATAAATTATGTCTCAACCTGGCTACGCATCCTCTATTTTTGAAAAAAACTCACTTATCTCTTCGTATTCAATAGTGCTTTCCGAACTAGGTTTAATTTTATGCACTTTGCTCTAAATAACACATGCAGAAACTTAAAAAAGTCATTAAATAAACAAGGGGGAATTTCGTTCTCGACCAATCAGCGCTTTTGTTTACATTTTTGCCCTAAGCCAATCAGAATGCGTAAAACGCTTCATCACATTAAATTTGTAAACAAACATATGGGGTTACTTCAGAGCTTTTCTGCCAGCGGTTTTTTGTTTTTTTTCCATGAAATTCATATATGTTGTTCTTGAAAGAATTCTCCTCAACTTCCTCGTGGCGATTTTTGTTTACATGGCCAGAAATGGAGTCCAACATGGCTGCCAAGCATGCGCATTTTGACTCAAAATAAAAATTCAAAATGGCGTCTTCTTATATAATTTGAATGGGAATAATGTAAAATTTGTATTTTTGATAACTTACGGTTGAGAAATCCAAAATGTGCATATCTAAAACTTCACCGATTCTGTCCAACTTTTATCCGTAAAAAAATTGGTACCACTCGGGTTGTCTAAGTATGTTCCCGAGCAATCAATATCTCTGCCTAGTCTCTGCATAGGAAAGTATGTGATTTCGACATATTAGCTATTTTGCAGGTCTAATTTCAACTCGTTCTTTGCAGATATCGTCAAATGTGCATATCTGAATTGCTTCGTACAGTATTCGTCTTTATTATTGTCACTTGTATGAAGCGTAAAAGTATACACTAGTATGTTCCCCAAAGCGATGAATTGCATGTATTTTGTAGAGAGGTGTCTGTCCAATTGTGATGAGAAATGCACCATATTTTGAACAAAAATATCACAAATTTCGCACCAAGACGTTATATTTGTTGTCCGCCATTGCTTTTATAAAGCTGTTGCTACGTTACAATGGTTTTAACCGCTGTCAATATAGGCTGTAGTCTCGTAAACATTCTAAAATTCGCGGGATTTCCTAATAATTTTGATTTGCCGACTTCAAAACATTTATAACTATTGAGTATTGGTAGACTTTTGAAACTTGAGCATCGATCAAGACTCGGTTGGCGTAAAGTTTGTTATATTTTATAATTTTGCTTGTTTTGTATATATCTGGTTGTATTTGCAATGTCGGATATTCCGCCTTTGCGCCATATGTATACTTGTTTGCAATGGAAATTATGTGTTGAAAGCCATTCATTAGTTATCTCTTCTTATTTTCAATTTATAAATCTGCCGTGCTCAGATTATTTAGTTCTCGGTAAAACTCAATGAGCTATACTAGTAAAAATATAAAACAGCCATTTTGTATTTGCCAAAACTGAACCACTGATCTGTATAGTGCACTGATCATGAATTATCAAGAAAACATGAGCATTTCTGGCCATGATTGCGTGATTGCGAAGATATGGGTTTTCAAACTTTGCCTTGCGCAAGCTTAAATACCACCCCTCGAATCTGTAGGTTCCGAACGGATTAGTGTTTTTTAAAAGCCTTTCAAATCGAGGTTTGAGAGGTTCTATTTTTTAAAAGATACTTTTATCTTCATATTTTGACATTAACTTATTAATATCCTGTGTAACAAGTAAACAGGACACTTCCGGGCCGGGACAAGTTGACATGTCGATTTCTTCTAAACAGCGTGGCGATCAATATGGCGAATATCTAAATACAGGGAATTTTTAAAATTTGTTGGTGTAAATGGGCTAAAGAAACTCATCAAATATTTGGACTATGGACCTTCAAACTTATGCCAAGTATTTATTTGATTGATTAGCTCAATAACTGTTTTTTGGCTCATTTTACGTCGATTTCGACATTTAGTCGAGCTTAGTCGACTTCAGAATAGTGTGTCAACATTGCGTGCATGTTGCAGCCTGTGGACATGAATATTTTCGTTTGTTTGACCATAACACTTGTCTTCATTGTTTTTAATCCTTGAATGACAATATATTCATTGGTCTCAGAGTCGTAAACTTAAGGAAGATGGATCACTTTGGGACAGATATCAAAATTTTGTTCAGATATCAAAATTTATGGACATATATACAGTAGCATATATAGTCACAGTGACTAAGTCACTCATAGCATAGTCATAGGACCCTCATTGTTTCTTCCTTATTTCGGCCCACTAGTCACAAATAGGGCCTGTTCTTATGACCTGGCTAGGCAGGAGACAACATTTGCCAGTATTGCTGATATACTGTCCTGCTACTATCTGGCTAAGCACAAGGAATCTGTTGCCAGAAACCCAACTATGCAAGCGAAGAAATTCGCCATTTACAGTAAACACTCTATCCCACAACCATGGCAACATGAACTTGCCTTTAGGGTCCCATGCTGCCTAGCCCAGATCATATCAACAGACCCTTAGCAGATCCTGAAACTACAATTAGAACATTTTAGGCCATAATCTTGTAGAATCAACCAGGTATTGTTAGTAGTATAATATCACACTGGGCAAGCTGGTCTCGCCCATTTATATGGGCTAAATATATACCTGCCCATGGTAAGATACTGCCTCGTATATTAATTTTATATATGTTTGAGATTGCATTCACATGAATCAGCCTGGTTGAATTTATTGGCCCAGCATCTGCTTGAGCAAGTTGATATCCTGCATTGGGAAACCAGCTCACTCGACTAAAAATCATGTTATAATACACAATTTGGTTATTTGGCGCAAGTAAGTAAGAAATTGATTAATATAAGCCTTCTGAAGCTGTTGTCATTAACAAATTAACCAGCATTTCACACAAATTTCTTGACAACAGTTGCCAGGTTAGCCTGGCTCCTGTGAGGCAAATGACAAACTAGCCCTGAAAAGAAAATCCAGCCATGTTTGCTGGGCTAGCATGGCCCATTTTGACAGCCCTTAATAGGGAGAGCTTATGTTTGGAAGGGAGATCTGATTTTTGGAAGGGAGGCCTATTTGTGAGGTTACTGGGAGCTTAATATTGGATTGCATTATTATATAATATGTGTAAAATATTCATTTGTTCACAGGTATTCTGGTAATGCACAAATTTATGGACTAAAATGTTTCAATTATAGTCTCGGGAACTATTGGGGACCTGTTTATATGATCTAGGCTATCCAGAACACATGCTTGAAGCCTATCATGTTGCCTGTTTGTGATACAGTGCTTATATTGTATATGGTGAATTTATTGGCTTTAATACATATAGGCGCCAGGATTCTGGCAATGGAAAGCTCACGCTTAGCCAGGCCGATAGTAGCAGGATAGGATAGGACATACTGGCCACTGTGGTCTCCCACCTTAGGCTACCTAGCCAGGTAATATCATTCTGTTCCAATGAACAAAATCATTCTGTTCCAATGTCATCCATCTTCCTTAAGTTTAGGACTCTGAGACCAATGAATATATTGTCAATCAAGGATTAAAACCAATGAAGACAAGTGTTATTTTATTGTCAAACAAACGAAAATATTTATGTCCACAGGCTGCAACACGCAATGTTGACACATTATCCTGAAGTCAACAAAATGTGGAAATCGACGAAAAACGAGCCAAGAAACAGTTATTGAGCTAATCAATCAAATAAATACTTGGCATAAGTTTGAAGGTCCATAGGCCAAATATTCGATGAGTTTCTTTAGCCCATTTATACCAACAAAATTTTTAAAATTCCCTGTATTTAGATATTCGATCGCCATATTGATCGCCATATTGATCGCCACGCTGTTTGACAAGAAATCGACATGTCAACTTG